TTCTATGATTCTATGATTCTATGATCTGAGTAAGAAGAATGTTAGCATCCTTCTGTTGAGGATTGTTTTTCTGCAGATGGGGGATGTCTCATTTCACCACCTCTAAAGAAAAAGAAATGAAGGCCATGTCTTGCTGTAAGGCATAGTGAGATGGAATTAAAACACAAAACTTGCAGTCCTGACTTAGACAGCTCATGTTCTTGCTTTGACCAGTTTGTTTGCTGGGTTGCATTGTTTGGAGAAAAAGTGAAAATTAGGGGATGAAGGGATGGAAAAAGGGGTGGGACAAAGTCCAACAGCTACTTAGCTGGAGGGCTGTATTAAAAGTCAAGCCGCAAGGCAAACCCATACGTTACCACATGGATTAACTCCAGCCTTCCTCCTTCAAATTCTTTCAGTTGTTCAGGTGGTAATTGTTGGTCCATACCTGGCTATCCTTCTCTTTCTTTTCTTGATACCTCTGGGGATGTACTCTCCTTGCATCAGAGAGATGGGCACGCTTGGACCAAAACCAGCTCTCATTGGACACCGTGGAGCACCAATGGTAGGTCTGGAGAAGTTCTTTTACATCATTTCTTCATCCTGTGTCTTGCTACCTTCATCATTGTCTTCTGTTTTTTTGTTTTGTTTTGTTTTGTGGTGGTTTTTTTTTCCCCATGAAATCTGTGGAGGGTCGAAGGGGGGACATTTCCATTTGGAATTGCATGTCAAAGGCATCACTGCATAGGTTTGCTAACAAGGATAACACTGTTCTTGAGGGACAAGATAGGTTTGGTGACTAAGTGGAAGAAAAAAAACCAGTACACTTTGCAAGATAATGATGGTCTTGTAATAAAAAAGAGGTGTTAGAAAGAGACAGAAAGTACAGAGTCTTCCAGAGTGTATTTGAGAATGATCTGCTTATGCGCTTGTGTTTCTTCAGCTGGCCCCGGAAAACACTGAAATGTCATTTCAGAAGACAATTGAACATGGTGGAGATGGTCTTGAAACAGATGTTACCATTAGGTAAGGGGAAAACATCTCGTCTCACAGAATGTACACTTCTTGTTCTAAGGGTTGCCTTTGAAGACACACAACTCAAGGCAACTTGGTTTTACTGATGGCTGGGACAGGGTCCCTCAGTTGGCGCGTGATGACAGGGCCTGTAGGGCATGGTTGTTCTCAGGCAAGTCAATAAGCTGTAGCTATTGATTCAACAGTCATTATGTGTGCAGTCTATTTTAAATGCTTTGCAGAGTGTAAAGACAAGTCCCTACCCTAGTCTGACTTCCAGACCACGATGAGGGTTGTATCAGGCCTACAAACCAACAGAAAGAAGATTGCATTCAGACTTGTGACGCCGTTGTCCTTTGTTTGGGAGACCCAGTGCCATGAATTGCTAACATGCTGTGCAGGATGAGCAGCTACCAGGCCTTGAATGAGAAAAACACTAATGCTTAAATGTTCCACTAATGTAGACCTCAAATTTTGCCTTTCCATCACTGTCCATTTAGACTTCAGTCCTCTGAAACCCATGGAAACACTTTGGTTTCAGCAAAAAGATATTTCAACCATGAGTTACTATCTGTTTTTTGAGGGGCAGGTAGGCACAAATGCCACCATCTCCACTTTACACCTGAGGAAACTGAGACACATACAAGCATGATTTCTTCAAGGCCACCCAGCAATATTTAAGCTGGAAATAATGTGGTGACTTGTGCCTCAGCCTTCCTCCTTATCCCACTCTCTGCACTGAGGGAGGCCGTACTGCTGCATTCACAGTGGCCTGCATGTTCTGACCTGGCGTGAGTCTACTCATGCCGTGAACAAACCCTCACCCCAAGTGACCTGAACTCTTGCTCTCCAACAGCTATGATGGGGTTCCTTTCCTCATGCATGACAGCACCTTGAGGAGGACAACTAACATCGAGGAGGTCTACCCCAATGAAACTACTCAAAATGCAGCGTTATTCTCCTGGCATACCCTGAAGGAGTTGAATGCTGGAACATGGTTCCTTAAGGTAAGTTCCATAAAGGACTGTCATCAACTGGATGTAGAAGAGGCATCAACTGGCTACTACTTAACAGCATGAAAGTTAGGAGAGGAACTACTGGTTGAGCCAAAACTCAAAGAAGTCAGCAGAAATACTTCAATTGGGGTCTCCTTGCTTTGTCCAGTTGACCTTTAGGCTTAGGACACCTATAACAGTTGGCTGGTAGGTGTTCTTGCGGCTCCTTATCATAGCAGCAGCAGAACACGTGGTCTAGAGGAAGGATAGCTACTTATGGAAGCTGCTGTGTAGAACAGTCACAGCTAACACGATGTGGGACCAAGAAGCACAGCAGAGCTAGCTGTGAACCGCACCACTTAGTTCCCAGAAGCGGTGTCATCACAGCCTGGGTTAATCTGTGGGGTGGATGCCCCATCCCTGGAAGTGTTCAAGGCCAGGTTGGATGAGGCTTTGAGCAACCTGGTATAGTGGAGGGTTTCCCTGCCCATGGCAGGGGGGTTGGAACTAGATTGATCCAACCCAAACCATTCTGTGATTCTACGAATCTCCCCTTTCTCAGGTAGAAGAGCTAAGCAAAATAAAATACCCTTACCTACTGAGGACTGGCGCCAAATTTTTCCCTCTTAGAGATTTTTTTCATGCAACTTACTCCCAGAGGCGACTGCCTGATTGATTTCCCTTTTTGTATCTGTTTATTTCCAGAACAAACCATTTGCATGCATGGGCTCGCTGTCAAGGGCAGAGCGAAACCAGGCAATGAATCAGTCAATTTACAAGCTAAGTAATTTCTTGCGCCTCGCAGACAGTCAGAATAAACTTGTGATATTTGATCTCTACCGCCCTCCAGAGAAACATCCTTACAGGAACTCATGGATCAACAGAACCCTGGAAGTCATCCTCAACGAGTCGGGGATTAGACCGCATCTGGTAGGGTGGCCTCACTCCCCCGTATCCCTTTTCTTGCTCTCTGAATTGGAGCTTTGGGGTCATACCCTGCATGATTTCACCTGCACAAAGTCCAGCCCTTTGCATTTCACTTGTTTTAAGAGGTATCGTTTGGAGTGAATTCCTACTATCCGCAGGAGGTACAAAATGGTGTAACCCTACACAGGGGAATAAGCCATTGTATGTACCAGCTGGTTCCTTAGCCCCTAGATGGTGTCCTTTCACCGTTGTAGTCATTGGCAGCCCGCTCCTTGCCATCTATGCTTATTTTATATATTGCAAAGAAATTCCTGGCTTAAAGTACATGGCATTGGGAGCCATCATTGCCTTCCTCCTTTCCCAGGCAGTGGGTGAATGCTAAATTCTTGTGGATTGGGTTATGTACCCATCGATGTCCAAGGACTTCATCCTGATCTGTGTCTGCTGAAGATATCTTCTCCCATGCTGGGAGAATCAGAGAACAGTATATTTTCTGTTGCCTTTCCCATAAACCAAAGCTGTCTTTTCATCCGTTTCAAACACCACATCTTTTGTTGGGCTGCGTGAAGCCTACTCACTGATTTCAAGTGAATAAGCAAGGAACAGTGACTACTTACTTCTTGATGAAAGTGGCTTGCAACTTTTAACCCTGCCTCCAAATGTTCTTTGATCACTGTAAAAAATACGTCATTTGACAGGCCGAGTTAAGCTCCTCAAGACTTTATCTTTACTGGGTCTGTTCGAAGGGCAGGGCAATTAGTAAGTCCTTTGGGAATTCACTGGGTCCTTTTGTTGCCTGCAGGTCCTATGGCTGGAGGACGACATGAGGTCCTTTGTTCAGTCTGTTGCTCCTGGGTTTCAGCAGACAATGGGCAGTAAGGCCCCAGTGGACGACCTATTGATGGACAATATTGTCAAACTCAATCTTGCCTACACCGAAATGTCCAGTGAAGATATCCGGTAGGTTGCAGTTTCAGCCCCAAGTGTGGTCAGTAGACTGTTTCTGGTGTACATTTCCCTCATGCGTGTGGCAATGTCTCCCTCCAGTGACCAGCTCCAGGATCTATAACATTTCAGGAAGAGCTCTTTTAGATCAAGTGGCCATCCCTGTTGCATTTTGAGAGTGAAGGACTGCAGGCAGTTCCCTACCTGTTATTGACCCTTTGTGTGGCCCAGAGGTGACATGTGCAATTGCACCTCTCTGCTCCCAAGTCCGTATCTACTTGACCAGGATCTGAGGATCTTCTGTGTAGAATAACACAGCTGTCTCACGATTTCTTGTCTTTCTCCTCATGCCATCCCTGGTCCCACCAACACTGAATCATGGAGAATAAATAACTATTTAACCTCCCGTGGTTCTTCCACAAACATCAGTGTGAGTGTGTAATGCTGAGGTGAGAGGCCATCACCATCTTGTAGCTGGTGTTTTGGAGTCTTTGTTTCTTGTCTCTATTGCTACCAGTACTCTATTGCTCGTGGCACGCTGAAAATGGCATCTCTCCAATGGAAGGCTCCCCACTCATTGCAGGAGTTTCGAAAAGAGAAGAAAAGAGAAGAAAAGAGAAGAAAAGAGAAGAAAAGAAAAGAAAAGAAAAAAGAAAAGAAAAGAAAAGAAAAGAAAAGAAAAGAAAAGAAAAGAAAAGAAAAGAAAAGAAAAGAAAAGAAAAGAAAAGAAAAGAAAAGAAAAGAAAAGAAAAGAAAAGAAAAGAAAAAGAAAACCCAATCTTACCTGTTCAGCTCTCCTTTTGTAAATAGGATATTTTTTCTCTTTGTGCAAAAACATTGACATCTTTTTTTTTTTTTTTAAAGTTTAATCCTTTGAATGAGAGTAATGTTCATGTTTTCTCAATGATAATTTTCACAGAATTTAATATCTTAAGTAGATCCATTTGGGTAAATCCTGAGTAGATCCTAGGTAGAATTACATCATGCAGATGTAATATTTAGCATCGTACAGAGAATAGTCTCACATCATATTAAGTTTTAATAGCTTATAAGAACATGACAAGTGACCAGCTGGTGCTGCAAACGTAACAAACATGAGTAGCCAGCTTCAAGGTGGTTGCAAACACACTACTGGGAGATTAGAAATGCATCATTATTTCTATCCATATGGCAGAGGAGCGAGCAAAGTTTTGAACTTTTGGACATTTTAATTACATTTGCCTCCTGCAGATCAAGTATTTTGTATTGGCCAGTTGAGAATGATGGATTATTGACTGGTTGCCCTTCCTTTCTATTCTTTATTTAGGTCCTAAACTAGGCCTTTCCTACAGAGAATTGTTGTTTCTCCTTGATTCAGTTCAAAGGAAGTACTAACCTCCTTGCTTTTCTTAAGGAAGACTATTTCCTTTTGGTCTTTTAAAGGAAATACGCTGAGGCAAACATCACCACCAACCTCTATGTGATCGACGAGCCATGGCTTTTCTCCTTAGCATGGTGCTCTGGGGCACACTCTGTGACCACCAATGCCGTCCACAAGCTGAAGAATCTCAGCCAGCCACTCTTCCTCATGGTAAGCAAAAATCCTCCTGCTCCTAGGGATAGGAAGTAGGGTTGGGATGTTCATGGTTACCTTTGGAGACCATAGGCTAGTTCATGCATGGATAAGGGAGAAGACCCTTTGCCCTGAGTTGAAGGACTGAGTTGAAACTTGACTGTGGTGTACACTAAAGGACAATTTTGCCAGGGGAAATGAGATGCCACCAGTTGATGTCAATGTTGGAGGGAAGCAGAGAGAACTACCTGCCCGTACAAACAACAAGTCCCTGTTATATCCACTGTGGTGCAGTCCAATCTTCTTGGCCACCCAGCAGACCTGCTTTTATGAAGCATGATGATTTGGCGCCAACCTCCACCGATGGGTGGCCACTTTGAAATGACATCAAATGCTTTAGGCACTCAAGAGATGTTGCTGCACATGCACACCAGGCAGCTGAATTGCCATGGTCAAACAGCAAGAGCGAGCTTGAGCAGCCTTTTTTGCATGTCTTGGGGTCCTTGGTGGTAGACACATTCTCTTGTTATTCTCTTCCAGACTCCGCAGCAGTACAACATCATGTGGATCCTGACAGATCTGACCTCTGTGCTCCTCATCTCACTCATCTTTGCTCTGCACTGGTAACTGCCGACTTGCTAATGGCTATGCTAACCTCATCTTTTGTGCCAGGTGGAGGGAAGGATGGATGCTTTCGGGTGATGTGAAGGATTAAAACTACTCTTGAGAACATTTCCTTTCCCTTCAGGAACTAGAAGAAAGCCCTGAAAGTCTCCAAAACCCTGTCTGCTGCTCCTGCTCACTCTCATTTTCCCTTTCATTTTGGCAGCTCAGGCATCATCTGCCCTCAGGATTCAGTGGAGACCTGGTGGGTTTACAGTAGCAATATAAACCAGTTATCAAAGCTGATGGGCTGAGAAAGGAACGATTTTTTTTTTTATTATAGTTAAGACACTGTTGCGTGAGACTGACTCAGGAGGAAAACTCTCAATATTTGAGCACCATGTGTCTCTCTTGCTGCATATCCCAGAGCCTCTGAGGAAATCCATCCTCCCAGATGAAAATGCCCGAGTGTGTCACAGACACCACATTTTGTTTCCTCCCATGCTGTCAAAGACGTTGCCTCTGTTTAATGATTGGCAAATCTGGGGTTCACAGGACAGGCTCACTCCAGCAGGTCGGGTTGGGCTGCTGGATGCTCTGCTCTGCCATGGTTGGATGAGGAACTTGCCTGTGCTCTTATCCCAGTGGTGACCAAGGAAAACAGGAGGTGCTGGGCTGAGCTTTTCAGCTAGCTGGCTGTGGATGAGTGGAAGGACCAGACCAGCCAGCCCAGGAGTATTTTCTCCAGGGGTGCTGGCAGCACAACTGTGCTGCAGGTGACAGCAAGGGGAAAGTTCAGGAAGCTCCTGGTTGAGCAGTCTGGATTGCTTGTAACTGGGACTTCCTTTGGCATGGCAACTCTAATTTTGCTCTGAGATTTTGGAAAAATGAATGAGTAGCAGTTCGGCCAGGTGATGAACTAGCAGCTGTACAGACATGTCTCTGCTCAGGCAGGGGGGTTGGAACCAGATGATCTTTAAGGTCCCTTCCAACCCGAACCATTCCATGATTCTATTTTGGGCATCCAAGCTTTCCTCTCCCCAAGGCAAAGCGGCTCCTTCCCCTCTCACCCTGCCCTGCTCTTAGCTGCCCTTCCTCGGGTCCTGCTTTACGGGTTTTCACCTCACTTTCAAGGCTGCAGGTTTCAGGGTGGTTCACTATCACCCTTGTAATGCACCACCACCACCATCACCGTCAGACCTTCCCATGCCTGTCTCCTCCAGGCTGATGTTCATGTCATTTGTGCATTTCCCAGGGACCTGCAATGCTTCTGATCCAGCCAAAAACCAATCTCTTCTGGGCTGGCATCGTAGCAAGGGCATACCCAGCCCTTCTGGGAACGAAGGGCCACCAGCAGGGTCTGAGAGCTCTGCGTGGTCTTTGTCAGGTTTATGAACGCACCAAAATCACAATTTTTAAATTCCTCCAGCTGCTTAGGAACCAACTGCTGCAAACACGTCTGGTGCTTTTGAGCTCTTCACTCTTTCTTCAAAAACAGGGCTTAGTCACAAAGTTGCCTTCAAAATGCTGTTGCACACATGAAGTGTGGTGGCTTAGACATAACAATCATGCACTGGAGTCCCTTCTTGGTAAGGACCTGAGCAAATCCCAAAACACCAGGGCAGTTCCTGCCCTGACAAAGTAGAAAAAAGGTGACCATGGCACCAGGGAGCTGCAAGAGGAACCACAGCAAGTGGTGACCTGACCCAAGTGCTTTGTCCCATGCAGGTGGCGTGAGCGGAGTTTCTCCTGCTGTGCCCATGACAGTGGCCCGATGCTGGAGAGCGGCACCTACAACAAGTTCAGGACAGGTGAGTAGGGCAAGGAGAGCTGGGAGCCACATCCTGCTCAGGCTGTCTCCGTGGGGGCGGCAGGGTCCTGATGGATGGGTTGGTCATGGGTGCCCATGCTGTGGTGAAGGATGGAGGCACCCAGGGTTGTCTCAGTAAGGATGCTGGTGGCACATTCCTGGTGAGGTTGTGTCTAGGCACTGGGTCCAGTTCAGGCTCCCCAGTACAAAACAGATGGTGACAGATGGGAATGAGCTCAGTGGGACCACTAAGCTGGAGGACAGGGCATTTGAGATCTGTGTTTGCACAGTGGGAGAGAAGGTCAAGAGGCATCTTATTACTGTCTGCAACCATCTAATGGGAGGGTGTAGAGAAGGTGAGGCAAGATGCTTCTTGGATGCACAGTGACAACAGGGCAAGCTGCAACCTTGGACATTTTGGCTAGATAGAAAGAGAAAAATAATAAATCTTCCCAGTGAGAGTAATCAGATACTGGAACAGGGTCCCAGAGAGGTGGGAGATATCCACTCTCAGAGGTATTCAAAGCCCTGAAGAGCACAATCTAATTGGCACTGCTTCAAGCAGAGGCTGGGGCAAAGACCTCCAGATGTCCCTTCTAATATGTATTGCTCTGCAATGCTGCGAAAAGAGAGCCCAGAGGTGCTGAGCCCTCTTGGGTCTGCGAGGCAGAGGGGGTCAGCTGGGGACCCTCACATGCACCAGGTTTCTGTGCCCATGGAGCTCTATCATCCAGAAGAAAGGACCCAGCCTGAGCTGCAAGCATTTTCAGCCAGGTTCTGTCTACTCATGATGGCTGGCAGAACCACCACAGATGTTTCAGTAGCTCACTGTGTGTCCCCTTTTCCAGAGCTCAGCGACATGCCTGCCGTCATGGCCTGACACGGGCAGGGAGGGGACGCGGACTTGCCATCTCGATGAGGACTGGAGAGCAGACCCTCCCCTGCTGCCCCTTCCTGCAAGGCAGACACCAACCTGCCAAGGGAGACTGCTGGGGGGGCTCAGACCCACCAGCTGAGGAGGAGCCATTTGCCTCCATGACCCTGCCGGAGATGAGCACCGAGCTTCCTCTCCTACAGTTTTCCTCGCAA